GGAGGAAAAACCTCGGAAATGTAGTAGGAAAGTTGAGACGATGGTAGGTGGAATAGGATGAGGTTTTTCCAAGTACTGCCTTGGAAATTGGAGGGCACACTATTCTGCTAACCCCTCTTTCAGTAAGTCCACGCGCCCTGCGAAGAAAAGGTTCAGATTGTAGGCGCGTCAAATCGGATATCCGTGGGTTAGTCCTACTGTAGTGTCTGTAGATTCAGCTCTATGACTAATCTTTATTCAATTTCTCATCAGGTTACAAGTAGCAGTTAAAGAGTCAAATGATAGCAAGATGCTGCCAGACGTTCAAGATGGCGAGATGTCATCAGTACTGCCCTGCACCCTTTCAGTCTCTGTTTTGCCAAACGGTTCGGCTCACGGGTTGCGAGTGGTGGAGGATGGACTTCGGATTAGGAAGCGCTGTAAACCTTGGTTTAAAATGTTGTGGCCTGTACGGGGTCGTAGTGTGACTAAGGATGTAAACCGCGCTTTAAAATGATGTGGCCTGTACGGGGTCGTAGGGTGACTGAGTGGGTTGACAACTGCTGCAAACTGTTGAGCTGTTCCGCAAGAGAGCACAGCTGTTGCCCATTATTTGTTTGCGGCGAGCTGCTGAAGTGAGCAATCGCTCGGAAAGATCTAGATCTGAATTCTGAAAAGTAAAAAGGATCGAAATTGTCAAAGTTGCGAATAGTTATTGAATGCTGCAGACAAAGGGAAATTACAAGTTTATGGCGCATCATAGTGGAAGTGCGCCATGCTTTCTTAATTGTCTGGGAAACAAGAAGTGACTGAAAAATGTTGCTTTCCGGACAGGGTACAGCATCGTTGTGCGAAACACATAAGGGGGGGGGTCGTACTTTTCCGCTGGGAGGGGGGAGTCGTATGTGGCTTTGAGAGAAATTCGCCGCGTTGGAGAAAAGTTTTTTCCGGTTGTTGACTTCTCGTGATTTTTTTTCTTGTTTCCTGTGTACCATACACCCCCGCGCACTCGACAGCAAGATTTTTGGGTGAAAAACTGGAAAATGGGGAGGAAGGAGATCAGTAGGTAGGTGCTGGGAAAGGGAGAGGGGATCGTACTGACACCACCATTTAGGTGAGGGATGGGGGTCGTACCTTCACTACCATTTCACACATCACGATGGTGTACCCTGCTTCCGGATCTGAAGTGTGCATGATTTTGCTGCAGAAAATTGACAGTGGAAAGGGAAATATAAAGAGATGTAAAGCAGTGCTGTGCAATAATCAAAAATTATATACCTAACGTAAATACGGAAAGATTTTAGAGAACTATTTTCAGAATGGCCAATGGTATTGAGCCGGGAATTATAAAGAAAATCCAGAAGCCCATCTCAAACTTTGCCTGCATGGAGAACATCAATGCTTTCGTAGAAGCCGCCAAGAAGGTAAGTCACTGACAGAAATAATCGACTATTAAGCTAAGTGAGAGCTTCTGTGCCTTATCTGGACTAGATCGAGGTGGATAAACGGGAAAAAGAGTCTTCAAAATGGGTTACGATACGTAGTATCGTTATTTTCTTGTTGCCTTCCATCCCTAGGAGAGACTAAGCCAAGAGAAAGGTAGGCCTATCATCGTAGCTGAATCACTTTAGGTGGTACCGCGCACCTTATACATCGGCTAGCCCAGCAGGTCATCGTAAAGACTAATTCCATTCAGAAGCAACCACGATTTGAATGGATCCCCAATTAGGAGAGTGACCGATGACGCCGGAAGCCGATTCTAGAAATCATTTTTCTTTTTTTTCGGTTACTTGCGGATGGGATGACAAACCAACAGGGAGAAACGTTTAAGCATGGAGGTGCCGTTTCCAATGATGAGCCATGTTGAACGGCCTATGAAGTTATCGACTATTTGCGAGGCTTCTCCCAGAGACGGTTCCGCAATGCTAGGTGTAGCTTGAACTTACGCAGTCTATGCAGCGAAATGTCAACTGAGAAAACCTTAGTTGAATCCACCTTCGAAAAACCATTTGAGGGACTGAATAGAAGTTGAGTATTTACTCGGCGCTTCTCTTACATTGTTGTACATCATATTTCCCTTGACGTTCTTGCTGAGTGTGCAAAGTTTTTACCTCTCTCGTTCGCGAATCGACACAGTCTGGCAAGCCGCCATCAAGTGAGACAAATAACTATATGGACCCTTCTGGTCCTATTGTGTTTCCACAGAATCACCCTGGTCTGGTCTCGGCGTAGCTCCTATGGTTGACAAAATGCGAGAAGCGTACCTTCGATGGTACGGCCATGTACTTCGCGCAAAGGCTGACACCGTCTGTAGGACTGGCCTTCAGCTTGAGGTGCCCGGAAAGCGACCTAGGGGACGTCCCAGACAGCGCTGGCTCGATACGTTGCATACAGACTTGAAAATAGCTGGAATTCACCCCGATCAGGCATTTGATCGGGAAAAGTGGCGTCATCACATTAGAAGAGCGGACCCGCCGCTGAGCGGGACAAACGCGCGTAAAAGGAAGAAAAGAGAAGTAAGAAGAGAGAATGACTGCGACTGGTCTCCATCGCGTTCCTAGTTTCCTAAGACTTCGCCAATATCGCTCACCGCCCTTAGTTGTCTACGGATTACCTGATGTCTCGCAAACGCTCATCCTCTTCTGCAAAGATCACTTGGTTTTTGTTCCGTTCATTTTTTGTTGTAGCATCTATGACCGAACTTTTTAGACAAGACGATGTTCCATAAAAAGCCGTCCCATTCATGCCCCATTTTCGCTTAGCGGAACGAAGATCTCTGAATGCTCTAGCTCTGTGCATGTATTCAGAGTTGAAAGTCAATGTGACGAGCGGAGTAGCTCCAGAAGCTAAGGGCAGGAGGTACGCTAGCCGGCACGGGAAAGCCTTAAAGATTGATCTCGCAGGAAAGTGCGGAGAGGAAAGCCCGGTTCCTTTGCCCGCTCTTCAACTTCAGCAGTCCTTTTTGCCTTTTTGGAGTTTCTGAGGCTTTCTGCCTTAACGTAAGCCGCTCAGTAAACCTAGTACTATGCGCCAGAGTAGGAATAAAGACGTGGTTAGCGTTGGCTCGCAGCGCTGTTTTTAAAAGGTGAGCTCAGAGTTTCTCAGCTATACGCCAGTGAAAAGAGCAGAGTAGGGTTGAACTCAGCAGATGAAAGATCAGATTTGGCCCCACAAGGTATTGCGCTTGCGATGGCCGTTGAATTAAATAAGGCGGGTACCGAAGGTTTCCGCGTGCGGATGTCGAAACCACGATGACCGCCTGTCCGATGGTCAGACTCAAGTCAAGGGGCGGCAGGTAACAGAAAAATGCTGACCTCGGGTCACGCCACTAGGACATCGCTCAGTGTCTGCAGCAGAAGAGGATCTTCATTCATGCCAGTTCCTAGAATGATGATTTTAGCGCGTTATGTCTCAATGGCTTCGTTCAAAATGTAGCAGGTCGTCGATCAAGAGGGGGCTGCATTTGATAGATCCTGAAGTAGGGCTGCATCACTTTCAGTTTTTTTTGTTGCGCGAATGTTCCTGGCGCATTTCACGAGGTGCTCGCACTAGTTTTTGTGGACTCTTGCGGACTATGGATGATTTGTTCGTCTGAGATTCTCCTCGAGCGTAATGCGCTGTACAGCATCGCGCGTCGGTGGCAAATTTTACCAAAATGTAATGTCCTATCTGTTTGATGGTTAACAGGACCGGGTAAGATACACCAAGGGGCGGATTCATCCTTAATTTCTCCTTTTGGAATCCTTTTTTTGGGTTATTCATGAACGATCATTTTGTTTCACCTCCTAATTGAAGGCACCATAGACAAGACCTGTAACGAAGCCATGGATAACTGATTAGCGCTCGCTTGTGTGCTGCTCGTGCTCACTTCCATTTACAATGAAGTGTGCTCGATCAGTACGTTCACTCCGATTCGTTATGGCAGAGTTTAAATGGTTGCCGAAATCACCTATTGTGAAATGCCGGTCGCTGTCAGAATTGAAGGTGCCGATCGACCTGTGGAAAGGGTCCTGGTTCACGCTGAAAACAGCTCGCGGTTTTGGTTCAGTGTTCGGATGTCATGTTCCAGGGTACAGCATGATGATGCGTGAGGTGGTGGTGTAGGGTACGACCCCCCACACTCCGGACGAGGGGTTTCATCAACGACCACCCCAGATAAAATGACGGTCACGGTACGACTCCTCCCTCCCCAACCCCGACCTACAAATTCCCCCATTTTCCAATTTTTTCACCCAAAAATTTCCCGTCGAGCGGGGGGAAGTGTAGGAGGGGGGGGGGGGGGTATAACCACGTGTGAAAGCGGGAGGATTCCCAACATTCCTAACCGTTTCTTCAGAATTATTCGGAAAGCTTTTGCAACCTTTTTCTTATAATTTGCTATCGAGGCGATGGGGGGGGGTATAGTGCACATGAAAACAGAAAAACACTGCAATTAGCAACAACCGGAAACCAACGCGACATAATTTTCTCCTGCGGGCACATACGACCCCTCTCTCAAGCAGAAAAAAGTACGACTCCACCTCCCCCTATGTGTTTCCACACAACGATGCTGTACCCTGGTCATTTATACCCGTTTTCTTGTCTCGCTACTCCCTCTTGTTATATTACCAAATTTATTGCTGTTAACCTCTGAATATATTTTTTTGGATATATGTTTCGAAATCATATCTATTCGGTTTTCAGCTCGGTGTCCCAACAGAGGAGACTTTCCAAAGCGTAGATCTTTTCGAAGCTCGTGACCTGTTCTCCGTCTGCGTTACGCTGTTGTCTCTTGGCCGCAAGGTAAGTTCTACAGTAGTTTTCGTTACAGACGTTGGGGCATGTCAGGAGGTTCTGTTTGCCGTGGCGCCAGTCCGTTCTCCACCAATTCTTTAAGCGGGCATCCCGCAGCAGTTGCGTGGAAAATCGGCATCATGCCAATTCCAGCTCCCCCTCCCTGCCGATGATGCTCCAGCGTTTGCCGCTAGAACGACGCAATTTCGATTTTTTGCATCGAGCTCACGCCAATCATCTGACTGAGATTTCAGCTCGCAGAGGACGGAAAGACCAACCCGATTCAAGTAAATCCGAAGTACCCTCGCGAATGTGAGTTCTAGCCCGGGTGTTTTTTTTTTGAACGCTTTGAATATTTGGCAGTCAACTTAGGAATATTTCAGAAGATGCTGTCGTCGTGCCGATTGATGATGATGATGACGATTTTCCATGTTTCTTCACAACAAACATGTCCCATATCTACTCTCTAATATAATGAATGAATCATTCAAGTATATCTGCTTGTTTATATGGATTATTTGAAAGTGTCGGCATAAAAGTGATATGCGCCATCTTTTCTGTTTTCTGCATAGCTCTGAGCTCTTGTGTCCTGGTCACAAGAAAAAGTGAAGGCTGAGATAAACAGAGGGGTAGAACGTGGCATTCCGTGCCCTAGCAGAATATTTCCTAGCTAGTTGACTGGGTAGGCATAGAGAAAGCCTGAGGGAAGCCACCCTTTACCCTTCACAGCCAATGTGAGCTGATGCCTCTCTTGCTTGCTATTGTAAACCGATTTCAGGCTCGTTTTTTTCAAATTTCGCAACTCACGCACGGCAATGGTCCTTGTTTCTTCTGGGCTCGGTAGACCGACCCAGCAATCTGCTACTAGAGCAAGGAAGTGTAGGGGTAAATGAGACCACGCATTGCGAAGGCGATCGAATCCCCACCTATGCCAACCAAGCCCTACCTCCTCTGCGGGCAATATTTGGTAACCAACTCGCGTGTATTCGGAACTGGACTCGCATGGAACCGAAAAACGCTGGCATGTACTTCAGCAGGTCCTGAAAATGATGATTTTCAATTCGTACCGGCCAAATCGCGGTTTATTACTATTGCGACTCTACGGAGTAGGGAAGTGTGATTCACAAAAAAAACCAAAGCCCAGTGTTTGTCTTTTTGTCCTGACCAGGTGGTTGATATAAGAAGTATGGCAAGGTTCGGATCATAATGTTCTGAGAAGTGCCACTTATTCTGTTTCCACCCACAATTGAGTGGCATCTTTTATGCGATTTGTTCTATACAGCAACTGAGGGAAGGATTATGTCCAAGTAGTGAAGGACAGCGAAGGAAAATGGGAATAAACGGGATAAATTGATCTTATTAATTAATGATACTTTTTTCAATCTCAGTAAAATATAGAATAAAGAACGAAAAAGTGGACCCTATCACCCTCTACATTATATCTAGGGATCTTAGAAGCCCCTTTCTCTGCAGCAAATTAGCTACTATATGAGTGCATACATGCAGTCGTATCGTCCGAAATCGCTTCATGAGCCGTGCAGAACAAAGACTTTTTGTAGGTTTTGGCCCTTTCAAATTTATTTTTCGCCGTTTTTCCACTCTATGCCACTTCTACAGCCATTTTGGATCTAATATCAAATCATCCTGACCTGTGCCCCTAAGCATACCAATATCATTGTCATAAATGTTCGACGGTTTTGGGTAAGATCAAAGTTCTCTTACAATTAGTGGTAGAGTGTCACCCAGCCAACATCTTAATCCAATAAAATCTGGACTTCTGTGTGACTTATATGATTCGGTTATATTTCTAACCGTGACCTCTATACTGATTTGATCTACGCAATCAACTTACGAATTCCAAATCGTCATTTGCGGGACAAACTGGTCAACAGACTTTGTTTTCCATTTGAATATTGTCGCGTTTTTTGATAGTCCTGGTCTTTGTTGTGTTCTTCTCCCGATTTCCTGTTGTATAATTACCGTCCATATAGCACCTGAATTTCCTAGGGTATACTTCCACCCTGTGTAAAGGCCGCATTTTCGTTTTGCCTTCACGAGCGCCTCGCAGGAAGTAACATGCGTCTTCTCTAAGCTTCCATTTCTGCTCGACTTGCACGCGGTTTTAGTTTTTGAAAATTTTAATTCAGTTGTGTTCACTTTCTGCGGCGTCATACGGCAGTGCGGCCTTATAGACAACTCCCTTCGAATCCAACTCCTTCAAAGCAAAACGCCACGATTTTTCATACAGATTAAGCACTTCTCGAATTGAATCCATACACTCTTGACACTGTGCAGTTATCCGAATGTGTAGAAACAATGTGAAAATCTAAAAATTCATTTCAAAAGACTCAAATACGCCAAAAGTGTGGAAAGTTTCCTCAAATATCTTATCGTGCGTTATTTCGGTGCGTAGCATCTTCGTCAGGCCCCACTTGTATCGGAATAAAAATGGAATAAATAAAACAATTTTTTTCATTCCGATGCAAGTGGGCCTGACGAAGTGCTACGCACCGAAATATCGCAAGATAAGATATTTTAAAAAACTTTTGAGACTTTTGCTGTCTTTTGAGTTTTTTGGAATAAATTTTTGGAGTTTCACATTGTTATTACACATTCAGATAAGAAATGAGACTCCGGGACAGCACAATACTCCACTGTGTAGTTAACTAAGCAGAACACACTGAGTGCTAGTGCAAGAACCAAATAACGTTTTCCGGGCGAGCGCGCTATCCGTTACGCCACCAGGGCCGCTTTTACCCTCTCAGCTCAACGGCTTATGCCGTAGCCTTACAACACTTACAGTTTAGCACGCAGAGATAGCGCACTCGCCCGGAAAGCGTGAGGTGCGGGTTCGACTCCCGCCTGGGAGTTCGACTTTTGCCCATAACTCAGCATTCTCGTGTAAAGTAGTGGGTGTCATGAAGAGCTTCCACGTCTTCCTGAGCATCAACTTCGTTCGATGGAATAGTTTCAGTGCTCCAAGGATGGGTCTGCAGGTGTCGGTCCCCAACAATGATTTCTAAGGATGCACTTCAACTAGGCCCAGATCCATATATCTTGATCGCCTAACCAATTTCAAGTCATCCTAGAAGGCGCTGTTTTTTGGTCATAGACGTCACAAGTTTTGTGCTGCCTCTGCGATTGGAGCCTAGATTAAGCTCAGAAAGTGGTGCAAAAAACCTTATTTGCGTCGGAACAGTCTGCTCTGATGAACTAAAAATTGACGAATCAACAACTAATAGAAGACTAATGGTAAGCGCGCTACGATACTTAGCTTTTTATCCTCCCAGATAAATCTGGTACCGACCTATGTGAGAAGAAAGCTCCGTCACTAATGGGAGACATAAGTATTGAATTTTTCGATGTTTTGCCTTTCAGGCTGCTGCTTGCTTCTGAGTGTTGCGCACAGATAGGAAGCAAGTACGAGATGAACATCATTTCAGAAGATTGGTATGAAGTGCAGCACCGGTCAACGTTTATAGTTTTCTTTGTCAGCAACCAGCCGCTCTTGCTGCACGCAGACTCAACCTCGGACGGTGGATGTGAGTCTAGATCTTTGGAAACTCTTTCTTCTCCTTACCGAGCATATTTCGACCACGTATTAGAGATGTGGTCTTTTTTCAAAAAAACTGTTCTATATGATGATCCCAAAAAATCTATTGTTTGTTCTCAAATAAGTGTAGAAAACACTTTCAGTACTTGTAACTCTCCACGAGAGCTCCGCCCGGAAAGAAAGGAATGCGTCATGTCCATGGGGCAAGGAGAGTCTACGGGTTACTCTGGCTTGCAACAAGGGTATCTAAAGAGCTTGCTGGCTCCAGTCTAAAGAAGTCGATGAACAATGGGAGAACAGGTTATGCTTTCACTATTTTCAACATTCAGGTTCTATAGGTAACAAAAAGTAGTCAAACGAGAGGGGATGAGTCTTCCATTTTGGACGCGAAGTTGCGGATGAGCGTGTTGGTACGAAAACTGAGTCACTTGTGGACGTAATTATTACGGTTTCCAGAAAGTTTTAAGGATTTCTAATCGATTCATGTAATCCTTACTAGCAACAATAAACACAACATCAATGATTATGATGAACATTGTCTCATTTTCCTTATTTGTGGGTAGTATTAATACTTTGCGTGGAAGTTGGAATAATGTGAAGGCGCAGTTCGGCGACTGTGGGGGGAGGGCATTTTCATGTTTGCCACTTCCCATCGACGTGTCGAGCCATCGAGAGAGCCTTTTGAGAATTGACAGGTTTTATCATGGTGGCTGGACGAGCTTGCTCCAGCTTCACAAGAGTTCACAGGTTTCACCAGAGTGAGACTTGTAAACCGGAACTAGTGAAGCAGCGAAAGTGCAAATCCCTCCCCCTCCCTGTCGCCGAACAGCGCCCGTTGTGAGTACTGAAAAAAGTGGGCGTACACAGCGTTAGAGCAGAACTTCCACACACGAGATCAATGAGCTCCTACTACAGATAAATTTGAAGGGCATTCTGTCTAGCATCGGCGACAAAACCTCAGTCACGTTTGGCCGAAAGAGCAACAGAACGGCGAGGGTGAAGTGGAAGGTGTTGGGAACACGGTGCAGCATCGTGATGTGTGGAATGGTGGGGCACCGAGACCCTCTTCGAGAGAGGGTCTCGGTGCAACTCCCCTTCCCCCTTCCGCCCCACTTCCTCAGCACCTAGCTACCACTTTCCTACGAGTTCCCAGCTTCCTACCTGTTTTTCACCCTAAAAATTTTCCATCGAGCGGGGAAGGGGTATATAGCCAAATGGGGAGGATACAGATATAGTGAAGCGGGAAAAACCGTGGAAAGTCAACAACCTGGGAAATTATTTCCCGACGCGGCAAATTTCTCTCGAAAGGACATTCGACCCCCTCACCCTTCCCAGCGGCCAAGTGCAACCCCCATGTGTTTCACACAACGATGCCGTCCCCTGGTTTGGGAATCGTGAGGCTTGTACACGTTCCAGTTAATAACTCATAGCAAGGGATAAGAATAATACCAGCCAACACAGTAGTTTATCCCAGACATTTCTCTTTCCGATAGCATTTTGTATACCAATTTCGTACTGGCGCGATCGCTCGCTACCCCTCTTCAATCTGAGTGAGCGAATTTTTTCAGAGCTTTCCTGACAACTTGATATAAAGTATTGGATTGACCCAAGTAATGACGTTTTCCCCTACATAAAGTCTTGTGGGTAAGTTGAGGAACTTTCCAAATGTGTCCTACGCTTGACAGGCAATGCTCCGGACTATAAGAGAGAGTGCTTAGTTTTTCATTCCCTATTGAATGTTGTCAATTTGTAGCTCATTGAACTGGAAGTGAGTTTCTGACACCTCCGCCCTTCTCCAGGCTCTTAAGCTCCAGAATCGCTAAAAACATGTGATGTTTCTGACTGGGGGATCCTGTCACCTAAGACGGCCTGAAGTTGATTCAAGCGGTCAAGAGGTGGTACTCAGACTTTGTAAAT